ATAGGAGAGACAGTTAACCAGGACGTGAACGGTGAATAAGATTTTGCTCTGTGGAAAGTCAAGGAGGGAGGTCTGAAAGGACCTTGACAAAGGAATAAGTAGTAAAAAAGACAAAAAGACACAGGGGCACGAGAATCAATGCTTCTTTATGAAACACTATGTACTTGAACATGGCTGAATCCTAGGGGCCATGGTGAGAAGTGGGAAGAGAGAAACCTAGGGCCAGATGCTGAAAGACAGATCTTTACCACAATTTATTCTTTATTTAGATTGAATTTGGAGCTTTCAAAGGAATTTTTTGTTTTGTTAATCCTTACTGAAGGATACTTTTCCTTTGGTTTTTAGAGAGAATGGAAGGGACGGGGAGAGACACACAGAGAAACACCGATGTGAGAGAGACATATCAATTGGTTGCCTCCCGCAAGCACCCCTGATTGAGGTATGTGCCCTTGATCGGAATTGAACCTGAGACCCTTCAGTCTGAGGGCTGACTCTATCCACTGAGCCAAACTGGCTAGGGCTCAAATGAATTTTTTAAAAAAACCATAGCTAGTGACCTGATTTCTTTTGGTTAGAAGACTATTGGGATTGTGCCAATGAAAAAGATTACATGAGAGTCATGGCAGTCAGAATTAAAATATCTAGCTTGTGTGACTGTTTCGGCCACCCTAACAGAAAAGAAGAAAAACAGTTAATAACAACAGACAAGATTTTTTGCAAATTAACTATGTGCCCGGCATTGTGTTAAATGTTTCATCATCTCATTTGATCTTCACATTGACATTTACTAGGCAGTGACTCTTATCCTCATTTTAAAGAGGCTTAGAAAGGTTAATTTAAACGGAGGCTTAGAGAGGTTAGTTGGTTTGCCCCAGATTGCACACTTAAGGAGGTCTTTGACTGGGATTTGAATTCAGGATTAATTTCATACCTCATATTCTTAAAAGCTATACAACTGTGTGTCTGTAAGAGTTTGTTTTTGGACAGGGAGAATTTGATGTGCTTGAGTGACAGACAGGTAGATCCTTTAGTAAGACTTTAGAATTATGAATCTGGATCATAAAAGATAATTCAGGGCTGGCTAAATAGATTTGGGGATCAATAACAAATGGAAAGGAATGTGATGGCTCCAGAAGGGGGATATAGAACAAGAACACTGAGGATAAAATTCTCAGAGCATTATCATATAAGAGTATGCTTAATGATCAAGCAGAGGAGACTGAAGATCCAGAAAGGAGACCAAAAACTAGTGATCAGAGAGAGAGATGAGGAGCAGAGGGAGGGAGGAGAAGTTCTAAGAAGGAGGGATTTGCTCCCAGTGTCATGCTACAGAGAGGTCAGGACAGAAGACGTCAATGACTTTGCCTCTTTGCCTAAAAATCTAGGTTAAATATGGCTCCTTATACCTTCCCTCTCCAGCAGTTTGAATTAAGCTCTGTTACTCTCTGTTCTAAAACTTGTGCTCCTAGTGTTCCCCTGGGTGATAGCTTAATGGTAGAACAAAGATTATTGACACATCCTGAACGCAGTGTTAGATGCAAGTCCCTCCTGATGCTGGCCATGAACTCTTCCTCACACTCAACTCTTCTCTGGTTACCCATGCAGAGAGGCCCTACCCCTGTTGTCAATAGCCAGATCTTGTAAATCTCCCCTTGCTATTTTCTTCCCAAGATAAAACTATCTGAAATATACCCTAACAATAAATGACACTACTTCCATAGCTAGCTCCCAAATTATAGCTGAATGTGTGTGTGTGTGTGTGTGTGTGTGTGGTGTAAATGTATACAATTTACATAATCTCATAAAAAGTAGGAGCGTGTGAATATTTATGGATGGTAGAAAGGAAAGGAGGAAGTTAGTTTAACTCTACTTGTTTTAACTGAGAGAGATGATCTGAGCAAACTCACTTCTGACATTTTTCACCTCAGCACTCTCTACTTACTTTTGTAGCCAAGGGCGGGGTTGGTAATCATGGCTGGGTGAATTGTCTGAACCTTGACTTTTGAAGGATGGTTAGGTTGAGTTTAGAATAGGCTCAGAGGGCGGATAGACACTGACGTTAGAGTTTGGGTCAGAGAACAGGGCATCAGCATGGAGGGGAGAGGTGTGGTGTTGTGATTCAGGAGGATGTGACGATTGTTTATCTTTTCATTCTAGCCTCCTCAGGTCTGGCATTGACTGCAACTCAGCTTCTTCACGATGGTGGGCCCTAATGGCAGTGAATCCAGTGCCACGTATTTCGTTCTAATAGGCCTCCCTGGATTGGAAGAAGCTCAGTTTTGGTTGGCTTTCCCTTTATGCTCCCTTTACCTTATTGCTGTGCTAGGTAACTTGACAATCATCTACATTGTGTGGACTGAGCACAGCCTACATGAACCCATGTATATTTTTCTATGCATGCTTTCTGGCCTTGACATCCTGATCTCTACTTCATCCATGCCCAAAATGATGGCCATCTTCTGGTTCAATTCTACTACCATCCAGTTTGATGCTTGTCTGCTACAGATGTTTGCCATCCATTCCCTTTCTGGCATGGAGTCCACGGTATTGCTGGCAATGGCCTTTGACCGCTATGTGGCAATCTGCCACCCACTACGCCATGCCACTGTGTTAACATTGCCTCGTGTTACCAAGATTGGAATGGCTGCCGTAGTACGAGGTGCTGCACTTATGGCACCTCTGCCTGTCTTCATCAAACAGCTGCCTTTCTGCCGCTCCAATATCCTTTCCCACTCCTACTGCCTACATCAAGATGTCATGAAGCTGGCCTGTGCTGACATCCATGTCAATGTCATCTACGGCCTCATCGTTATCATCTCTGCCATTGGCCTGGACTCAGTTCTCATCTCCTTATCATATCTGCTTATCCTCAAGACTGTGTTGGGCTTGACACGTGAAGCCCAGACGAAGGCATTTGGCACTTGTGTCTCTCATGTGTGTGCTGTTTTCATATTCTATGTGCCGTTCATTGGATTATCTATGGTGCACCGCTTTGGCAAGCGGCAGGACTCCCTCCTGCCCGTCATCATGGCCAACACCTACCTCCTTGTCCCTCCTGTGCTCAACCCTATTGTCTATGGAGTGAAGACAAAGGAGATCCGGCAGCGCATCCTTCGTCTTTTCCATGTGACAACCCTGACTTCAGATCCCTAGGTGTCAGTGATAAAACTTATTTTTCACTCAAAGTTCTTTAATGCAGATTTTAATATCAATATTTTGGGAGACAATATTAGGAACAAAACATGTTCCTTAATAAAAACACAGCTGGTCCTTCAAAGATGAAACTGGTGGGAACATCTGTGGATAGGGGCAGCAGAACAGTATACTCCCAATCCCCATTTTTTGAATATTATTTTTCCCTCTAGTTATTTTCTATATGTAATTATTAAAATCTTGAGGTGGTTGTAGTTGTAGGATTATTATTTCCCATTTAACCATCCAGTCCAATTCTCTAAACTGCTTGTACTAGTCCACAGCATTCTAAGGTAAGGGTGCCACATCGAAGGCATTTTTACCAAAGGCTTAAGCATGGCAAAAGTGAAATAAACTCAAGAATACAATACAATCAGATACTTTGGCTTAAAACTATAATTTTTTTTCTCCCCAGAAACCATATTGAATCTCAGAAAAGAAGATATACCTGGATTTTCTTCTTCAAAATGATCTCCACAAAGAATATATAATTTATTTTCTTTTGGGCACCAGCCCTTATGAGGGAGATTGGAAGTAAAACCATGCAAAAATGACTGTTATCTGCATTAATGAAAAATGATACACTGTTCTGAGAGTTTTCACAGCCCATGGACACTTCCTTTCAATTTGAATAGGAATATAATTAGTACCCCCATTGTACTAATGGGGAAGTTGATGTTCAATGGGGACTAATAAATTACATGAGGTCACACAAAAAAGTTGTCTTTTGATACCTAATCCTATATTGTGAGGAGGAATTGTTAGACCAATGGGATAGTGAATTAAACATTTCCATAGTCTTGCATTTTCGAAGGGAGGTAACTAATTTCCTTTCTTACTCATCCAGTATTGTATTTAGAAATTTCCCATTAATATTGTTGGTGGCTTTAATCTCAATAGTTTCTGGTCCATTTACCAGTGAACTTGTGAAGTAGCAGCAGGAGTGTGTTTGGGTAATTCCTAATCAGTGGCTAATTTGGGAAATAGTATGACTAGCAGTGGAAGCATTCACTGGGTATCTGGAGAGGCACTTCAGAAAGAGATGCACCAGAAAACACCATGAAGCTCATGGGAGAAGCGGCAGGTCTACCACAGACCAGGGAATCAAGAGCATGACACATCATGAAACGGAGGAAGCCCATGGGGCTAGCCATGAAGCAAGGCTACCCATAAGGCGAGCATGGATCCACAGAAACAGAGTAGAGCATACAGGTGGACAACTACATCCCCAGGACTCTGAGCTGCCTTACAGGGGAAGCACACAACATCAATGCTGGGAGAACAAATCTATAGGAGGGACCAATAAAGCCTGCATTCCGGCCAGCTGTACTTAGCATTAATGTGCTCCCAGTGATCCCAGGACCCCCACAAGCTTGGTAGCATAGCACTTCCAGAAGGAAGCTGAATGGGAAAGAGGGGTATGGGCTCCACAGGAGTGCAATAAGCATAAAAAGGGCAGAAAGGAGACCACTACCCATAGGGGGAGTGCTCAAAGAGAAGTAGCTAAATGTGAGAAGCAGGGAGTATAGTGGAGAACATGGCACAGGACCAGCCAGACTTTTCATAGCACAAGATTACTTAGTAGAGAGGATATGGAGCGAGCATATCTGATCTCTTGGACTGGAATCCAGAAGACGAGAGTTGTGAATAGTATGGAATATGATATACCCAGGTGAGTGGTGGCCAGCAGAACTAGGAGCATAAACTTGAGTCATTGCAGGCTTCACTGGGAGGGAATGAAGGTTTAGCCCATTGCCCGGTAGAGTCCAGACAACTGGGACTGAGAGAAAGAGATAGAATGAAAGACAGAGAATGACATATCAATTTTTCTTATTAGGAAATCAACACATGATTACTATAAATATAAATCTTAGACATTGTGAAAATATTAAAAAAGTAGCAATATAATTGTAATTATAATAAAAACTCCAATAAACTTGTCACCTTAAAAGAAAATAATTATTAGCACTTTGGTGTTTATTTTTTCAGATTTTTTATTAAGTATTTGCATGCATGCTTCTGTAGGGGCATATGCTAAATGTGTGTGTCTGTTTTATACTCGAAATTCTATTGGAGACATAGATAGATGAATAATAAGCAGATAAATATAGAGATGTCAAATTCATTATTTCAGATTTTTAGTAAGGATTTCATGTCTATGTTACTTAATATGCTCTGCATAACATTTCATAGATTTTATCCTAAACCACTTAAACATTTTGTGAGTGTAAATACACACACACACACACACACACACTGGGTTACCTGGAAGGGCTTGGAGTTAAGAACAAGAATGAGAGGAAGAGGCTGCTTCTTTTTAGGAAATTTGGCTGGAAGTTAGGGTAGGTTCTGGACAAAGACCTTCATCGTATGCCTTTTACACAAGCATCCTTTTACCTTCCCTATTTCTTTTGTTTGTATATTCCTGCCTCCGGCCCTACCATCTCAGCCACTTGGACCTTTTTGAATCCTGAAGTCTGAATGTTAAATCTGTCTATAAGTCACTTGTTCTTTTTTTTTTTTAGGTTTTATCTGTTTATAAAGCAGTTTATGAACTGTTTTATAAACATGCCTTGTGTTCTCCATTCACCAAACCTACTTCCTCTCCATTGTGGACACAAAGCTAAGCATTTCTCATGATGAAATGCTAGCCATTACTTTCAATGTGAGTGGAAGTGACATGTGCCACTTCTCTGCCAGGCTCAAAAATCTTCCCATGTCCAATCTTCCACACTGACATCAAATGTGACTTGGGAAGCCATGAGTTGCACATGGTAAACCAGAAGCAGCCTGGGTTCTTAAAAATTATGTAGAAACAGATCCTTCGTACCTGCCACCCTCCATCAACCCATATTTATACGAGGCAGTTGAATAAATAAAAAATAAAGTACTAATGGGTCAAGACTTTGTACATGCTTTTGTTGTCCTTAAGTAGCCTAGCCTTGTAACAACACGAAATAAATAGTTATTGAATAAACAGATTAAAAACTAAAGGAAATAAAACCTGGAAAGTAAGGAGCTGAGGTAAGATTGCTTTTTATCCTTTTAGAGAAAATACTGGCTGTATAAATTTATCAAAGAAGCCGATATTTATTTACATTAATACAATTATCAAAGGTCTTAATCAAGCTGGGATATATATATATATATATAATTTACTCTGGGTCAATACCTTCTCACCTTCTCAGGAAACTTACATTATTGTTCCTTTTCCCTATTAGATATTCAACCTCACCATCTCAGTCATTCTTAGCATTTAATATGTTCCAGTCTCTTCCATATTAAAAACGACAATGACAAGTATAATCCTGCCAAAATACTATACTCCTCTTTTATCTCTTCCCTTTCATAAAATTTCTTAGAGAAGTTAACTGTAACTTATCTCCACTTATGCCTCTCTTATCTAGCCCTCCCAATGCTCCTATATAACCACAGCCTTGGTGGAACTGCCAAAAGAACTTCTACTATCATCATCAAGGTTTTTTGAAAAAAATATATTTTATTGATTTTTTACAGAGAGGAAGGGAGAGGGATAGAGAGTTAGAAACATCGATGAGAGAGAAACATCACTCAGCTGCCTCCTGCACACCCTGTACTGGGTATCTGCCCACAACCAAGGTACATGCCCTTGACTGGAATCAAACCTGGGACCCTTCAGTCCATAGGCCGATGCTCAATCCACTGAGCCAAAACAGTTAGGGCTCATCATCAAGGTTTTTAGTCCTTATCTCCTCTGACTTCTCAACAACATTCAACACAGTTGACCACTTCCTCTTTCTTGATATGGGTATGATTCCCCTTTGGCTTCCATGGCATCACACTCTTGGTTTTCCTCTTATCTCTCTTGATACTTCTCCATTTCCTTTGCACATATAGTGTTCTCTGCCTGATGAAACAACATGTTATAAGAGAGCCTACAATCAGACATTTAATTGTCATGCAATCACATTTGGGTTGATGGCATCTAGGGTAGGTGTTTGTGGCAGACACTGACTACTTTCTATGACTTAAATTTTATCTCTAGACTAGACCATTCAGCTAGTCTAGTGCCCCTTTCCCTATTCAAATTTATTTCTACATTCAAAAGAATTATTGAGTTGCTATTATTTCATGAACACCACTAGACACTGAGTATATGTTGGCACCCTTGGAGTTATGGAATAGTTGAGTGGCAGGATATTTCACATGTGCAGGAGACAAATAAGTTCCAGTGGGTAATATGAAAAAGAGAATTAATTAAACAAGATTTTCTGAGAAATTAGGCTGATACTTGACAAATGAAGAAGGTAGGTAGAAATATGATGTAGAGTGGGGTGATGAGAATGTTGTAGGCAGAGGAAATGGTGTCTGGTGAGATGCTGAGACCAGATAAAACTGATTGTGTTTTAAGTTGCAATCTGCAATTCATATTTCTAAGTTATTTTATAGTAAAAGAATTTAATAAATAATTTGTATGTATTAGATACAAACCAAATTACTTAATATAGTATGTGCAGTCTTTTAAATCTACCTTTCTGACTTTATCCCCTACCACTCCCTCTTTAAACCCTATGCCGCAGTCATAATGGTTAAGCTATTAGAGATGTGGTAGAGATGTAAAAAAGTGCAGAAATGCTCATCTTTCCACAAACACATGTACTTTTTCAAAATATTGAGCCTGTTTTTATATTTCTCATTCCCACCCCCTGTAGGTTTTTCTCTTTTTCACTCAATGCCTATGTTGCCTAGGGAAAAAACGCACCATCCTAGATTTTTTTCCAAGATGAAATGAAAGCATCCTCTTCTTTTTAGAGGTTTGTCCAATCTTTCTAGGCAAGATCTGGCAACTACTAATTTGCAGTCTTTAGTAATTTCTTGCAAAGAACTTTATTATGATACTTATAAATCTGTATTCTAATTGTGTATATACATGTCTTTATCCTGGCACAAAATTGTGAGTTTCTGGAGAAGACCACATTTTATATATTTCTCAGTTTTTTAATCTTAGCACTGCTTCCAGCACAAAACAAATGGTGAAAATAAAATTGTAATAGGAAGGAGCCTGATTGCCTTCCCACTGTATTAGCATAAACTAGGAACTTTCAGTGCTCGCTAAGGGTAGCAGGTTTCTGTGAGGCTATAACAAGTGTCTTTTACGGTATCCAACCCTGTTGTATTTTATAGTTTCATCAGCCTTGGCCCTTTCACCTCAGCACTCTGAGCATGGCCTCCCTGATGGGCTTGGATTTCACACTGTAGATGATGGGGTTGAGCACAGGGGGCACCATCAGGTACACATAGGCAACCAGGGCATGTACAATGTGAGGCAGGTGCCTTCCAAAACGATGGATCATGGACATGGTGATGCCTGGGATGAAGAAGACAAAGACAGCAAGGATGTGTGAGACACAGGTGTTGAGGGCCCGGATGCGCTCCCGGGGAGAGGCCAGCCCAAGAACTGTGCGCAAGATGAGAGAGTAGGACAGGATGATGAGCAGGGAGTCTATGCCCCCAGTGGACACAACCACATAAAGTCCATAGCAGATATTGATGGTGATATCAGCACAGGCTCTCCTCATTATATCAGGATGAAAACAGAATGAGTGGGATAAGAGGTTCTTGTTAGGGCAGAAGTTCAAACGTTTAAGCAGTGAGGGCCAGCATGGACAGGAAGTAGTACATGGGCTGGTGCAGGCTGGGAGTCCTCCTCACAGCCAGGAGGATGAGGCAGTTTCCAGTGAGGGCCACAGTGTACATGCAGGAGAAGGGAATGGAGATCCAGCCATGAGCGGCCTCCAGCCCTGGGATGCCAATCATCAGGAAGGAAGCTGGCTGGAAGAAGGAGATGTTGACATAGGATTGGGCAGAGAGCATCCTTGGAAGGCAGAAGAGGTCTCCAGAAAGATGTGACCTCTTCAATCTGGGCAGAGAAAAGACATCAACAGGGCACCTGCCATTAGGAAAACATTTTTTTATGCTGTATAGGTTTTCAAATGAATTATTTCCCATTTCTCAGCTCTTACTTTGCAGTATGACTAGTTCTAAGAATATTCATACATTAGCAAATATGTCCTCAAAACAAATACAGAATGTAGGGCATCGTTTAACTTCTTCATGATTACCAGAAAATAAGTGATTGAAATGGATTTAGAATTTAGTTGTTTCTAAATATAAGTTCTATGCTATTTTCACCTTACCATGCAGAGTCTTCATTAAATAAAGTGATGTTTATTAATATACTTTAATATATATATATAGTACTCTCTAAATCAGTGGTTCTCAACCTTCCTAATACAGTTCTTCATGTTGTGGTGAACCCCAACCATAAAATTATTTTCATTGCTACTTCAAAACTGTAATTTTGCTACTGTTACGAATCATAATGTAAATATCTGATACGCAAGATGTATTTTCATTGTTACAAATTGAACATAATTAAAGCATAGAGATTAATCACAAAAACAATACGTAATTACATATGTGTTTTCCGATGGTCTTAGGCGACCCCTGTGAAAGGGTTGTTCGACCCCCAAAGGGGTCGCGACTCACTGGTTGAGAACCGCTGCTCTAAATGATCATCAACACCATCATCATCATCATCGTCATAGTCTTTGTCTTGGTCGTTACTGTTATTTAATTAATGCTGCATTTTGCAGTATTTCTAAGTGCTTTCACATAGTTTTCTCATTATTGTCTTACAATTACTTTGCTGATAGAGAAGGGAAATATTTTAGCTAATGTGAAATGAGAGAAATTGTGTAGCCCACCATAGGGTGAGAGCTTTCCCTTGGACCAGTTTATTAGAACTTCAGATCTTTTTGTGTCTGAGGGGATGAGGACAAACCCTGGACATTCTCTTTTAATCAAGGCCCAGTAATGATAAAGTCCCAGGATGAAAATGAGAATAAGAACTAGGTAAGTTTGGGTAATTGAGGAGACAGTTGATTTTCCCCAGGTCGGTTCAGCCCTAGCTGGGTGGCTCAGTTGGTTAGAGCATCATTCTGATACACCAAGGTTTGATTCTCTGTAAGGACTTGTACAAGAAGCAATCAATTAGTGCACAAATAAGTGAAACAACAGATCACTGTCTCCCCCCACCCCACTCCACATAGTGGCTCTCTCTTTCTCAAGTCAATAAATACAAACTTAAAAAATATGCTCTCTACATATGCCTTGCCCAGAGAATATCAGCCAAGGTCACTGGATGCCAGTGTAAGCCAGGCTACACAGTGCTATTTTAGGAATCAACCCCTCATTCCATTTATGTAGCATTCCCCACAACCTTTACAATACCAGCCAAATGCTTTGTTCAGCCCCTTCCCACACCCATCTTGAGACCTTGACTTGTCCTTGAATGTGCATCCCTGTAAATACTCAGCACTGACATCTGCTCTAGCTGGAGGTCCACAGCTGCAGGGCCAAGGACCCAAAGTTAGAATTTCTACAGACACCAACTGAAACCCATGAAATCAAAGACATACATGCAGGCACTTATAGTGCTCAGAGTGGTCTTTTCTAATTTTAGTGTTTG